TGAGTAGCACCATGATGCAGGTTGAAACAACAGCAACCCCAAGAACTCCCCAACACTGTGCCAGACTTCCTGTCTGAATACACAAAGACATACGTGACCATGGTTGTCAGGCAGGCTGACAGAAAGCAGAGCAAGGATTCTTTTCTGGGTGAGGAGCTGGGGCAGCCAGCAAAGTCAGGGAATTAGGCTTTCCCAAGAAGGCTGATTTCATTTCTGGCTGAGTTGCACAAGCACTGTTGGGAATTGCTAATGGATTTTTACAGCCCATTTCTATTCTCCACTGTGCCAGCTCTGTTCTCCGTGTATACAAATCCCAAAGACCTGTGAAGAGAAATAGTAATCTTACATTTCTTTGTGTCCTTGTTTGCCTTAGACATGGCTTGATGGCATGATTTCAGCAGGGTTTGAAAATAACTCTTTCCTAAGATCTCCTGGCATTTGTCAACAGACTATCAGATCAGAACTGATCACCAGATGTCAATCCTGCTAATAAGATATTAGATTCTTTTGCATTCCAGCCATAGGAGACATGACTCTGTACAGTCTTAAACCTGAATTAAATTGCACCCTCCTGCTTCATCCTATTCCACCTTTTAGTCTGGGTGGAAGCCCTCACATGCACCATGGGGTTGGTGTGCTGTAGATGCTCAGGTCTGGTTCTGAGGTTACAACAAACAGAAAGCACCCAAGTTCCTTTTGCCAGGCACAGTTACTGCCTCTCCTGACAGAAAGCTGGCAGAAGGCACATGCAGGATCTGAGCAGGTTCAGAGGACAGGATTTGTCCTGTAAACCAGGCCTAAGGGTGGCCCAGCCTGTCTGTGCTGACCAGGTAATTCTCTCTTTGCCTAGTTTCCCTTGTTTTGGTTCAACATGCCTGCAATCCTGAAGGGCTGGATGGACAGAGTCTTGGTCCAAGGCTTTGCTTATGATTTGTCAAAGGCTTACGATGGTGGCTTGCTCCAGGTATGTTTTTGGAATTGTTTTATTAAGGTCAAGGCTTGCACCATGTTCTGTGGGGCTTTGTTTATTCTTTTCCATTGTGGTTGTTTAGATCTCTCACTTTACGCTGTGTTGAAGTAGTGCATCAGTCCTGCTTCACCCAAGACATAATTCCTTTTCTTTAACCTATCTCTTCCCAAAGACAGCCAGTCCACTGTCTAATTGTGTGACATCAATCTTTGCCTCAGAACTGCCACTTCATGTAAGGTCTGGGAAAGAAGAGGTCACCCTCTCCCCTAGACATCCATGCTCTCCAGGTTTCCCTGAAGATCTCTTGAACCATTCAGGCACTCTTCTTTAAATATGTCTTAATCAACCACTACTTTCATAATTCTAGGGCAAATTATCTCTGTTTTCTTTCACCACGGGAGGAAGCAAAGAGATGTATTCAAAAGAAGGTATCGGTGGTGATATTCGCTATGTCCTGTGGCCCATGCAGGTATAATATATGAACATTTGGCTGTTGTTTACATAACTTTTTATTATCCCAGCTATTTTTAACAATTGTTTTATTGGGTTTTTTTCTATATGAAACATAATTATTAATAATCAAGTTGTCAGTTCCAAGGATCTGTAGGTTGTAAACTGTTATCTAGAATCCTGGGTCTACTTTAAAAGTCCACTGACATTTAAAGTTGTTTTGTTCCCCTTCTTGCAGATCAGAATGTAGAGAAAGCTTAACACTGTCAGCCTCCAGTTTCCCTACTGTTACAGGAGTTCCTTTAGCTCAGCTATGCAGGAGCTGTTCCCTGTGGTTTCCCAATTCATGTAGGATTTAGGGCAGGAGGGGAGCCACATATTACCCTAGCAGTAACAACATGCAAAAGTTAGCATTCCTCTTCTAATTGCTACTCTTTTATCAGAAGTACCAGCATGGTTTGAGAAATACAGGTGGTAAGTTTTGCCAGCTTCTTCCTGACACAACACAACAAATGATCTAAAATTCCAGTTTCCTCCACTCCACACCCAGTTACCAGCTGCCTGCTCCTGTGGAGCTGTCCAACTGAAGAGCTCACAGGTCAACATGGCAAAAATGTAAAAAACAACTCTAAATTCAGAAACACAGAGGGAAAATGGCAAGTTGAGCTGATTCCAAAGGTAATAGCCTTCCTGCAGAAACATTTAGCTAAGCCAGAGGTAAAGGGTTAAAAAAAAACATCTTAGAAATAGATGTGGAACACTGCAGTTAGAGAAAAATCTGAGGAGTTTCAAACTGGACAATGAACTTTTGGCCACCTGTGATCCTTGCAAGCTAAACAGTGAACAGCTGCCAAAGAGGACAGTTCTGTGGGATTAACAGCAGTTAAAAATAAATTCCACACAGCAGAATAAATGAAGCTGCCCTTGTCTTTCAGTATCTCGTATACCATTCTGCTGAATGCCTTCAATGGTGGCTGCCTGGATAGGTAGTGAATTTCTGCAATTTATTTTCCTGCTCCTGATAAATGCACAGGTTTAGAAACCTGGCTGATATTGAGTCAAAGAAACAGAACAGATTTGAATCTTCCATGAGCTTCAAATGAAAGTAAAAGAGTAGATATTTCCTGAGGCATTTCTTTCTTTGTTTTGCATCCAGCATGGAATCATGCACTTCTGTGGTGTCAAAGTCCTTGAACCTCACATCTGTTATGCTCCAGAGAATGTCTCTGAGGAGAAGAGGAAGGAGATGCTGACTGCCTGGACCCAGCGTCTGAAGACTCTTTGGAAGGAAGAACCCATAGACTGCTCTCCTCAGTGGTATTTCAAGTAGTGTTCAGGTGTAAGACTACAGAGAAAAGATGGGGCTTTTTTCTTAATTCTTTTTGATGTTCTATCTAAATACATGAACTCTAATCTCCTAAATCAAATATATTTTAAGAAACTTGAATACTACATCTAGCAGTTTAACTGATTATATAACATTATAACTGATTATTATAACATAGCATTTATCTTCACTGATTCCAAAGGGATTCCCTTCAAGGATGGGTGCAAAACTCTTTGCGTTGTTCTCCTTGCTCACATGAACGGTGTCATTCTGCCTCCTTGTGGATGAGAACACGTATGCTATTTCATGGCAGATTATGCCATTGCTGCTTGCCAAACAGTGAAGTACATGGCCAAGTTAATTTTATCACTGTTTGTACCAGTTTTCCTTTACCAGGGAATATGGTGCCCATACCCAACTCGTCATTTAAAAGCCACTTGTCATTGGTTGTGAGAGTTCCAACACTTGTGCCTTGGAGCAATAAAACCACATCATGAGCAGTGTTGCAAAAGGATGTACGGTTGCAAAGTGTCTTAAACAGCTGGAAAGCCTTGAGGGCAGCCCTAGGCTTCTCCAGCTATCTATAAAGCAATATTAAAGCTATGACAGATACCAGAAATGGGAAAAAATAAATATGAATGTAGTGGCGCGTGCATGAATTGCCTTCCTTTGTATACTACAACTTCCATTTGTAAAGTATGCAGCTTCCCATAATAAAAGTAGAGAGAAAAAGGAATCCCATCTGTTGCCTGCCGCCTCACACCAGTCAGTGTTGGTGTTTGGGTCTGGAGGGTGTTAGCTTCCTCTCCAGCACCAGCACCAATGGGCTTCCTTGGAGATCTCCAGCGCCAGCAGTTGGTGAGGCAGAGCACTAACCCAAAAACCTGCAGGTGCACTTTCTATGGGTCAAGATCTATGGGAAAGATAAATTGTCTGGCTAGTAATAGTCAGGATTTTCACCTGGAACTGTAGCAGGATTATTTTTGTGCTTTAGAGTTGTTAACCATGTTTGTGCATATGGCAAGGGGTGGGTTTCTTGCTTAGCTACTGAATTTCTTGCTTTGACCAGCTCACCTAACTGCTGCCTTTGCACTTTGATTTTAAAAGAATGTGGCCTCAATAAGAACCCATCTCCTGAGTCACTATCAATGACACCTAAGCCCTTGTACATCTGCCACACCTGCTTTGTTGCAGTCTTGTCACACCCCAGCCTTACAGTTTCTTACGGTCTAACTGGATGATAAACATTCTGAGCCCAGACTCTGGAGGCTCAGTGTAAGCTGATACACCAGACTGGGAAATGCCACCACAGGGAAAGGATCATGTGTTCCTGTTTGCTCCCATATGAAATGGAGGGCCGCATCCAGCAGAGACATTTCCCAGCAATCAGAGCTGCCTGAAGCTGGCACAGATGTCTGCTGTGGGGTGTGTGAGCCAAAGTCTTTAGGCTGCAGAAGCAGGAATTTTACTTTGGCTCAACAGCTCTGTTATAGGAAAAGGAAAGTGAAAGGGAATAAGGAGTAAAGTGTTACATATCTAAGTTGTGGGAAAATTTCATGCCTAAAAGACTTAAGGAGAGCAACTTAGTTACCAAGAGAAATTTGAGGACAAATTTTAAAATTTCATAAAAGAGAATTGATCCCTCTGTAATAAAGAATTGGGTAAATAAAAATTCGGAATAAAAGGTTTAAATAAAGTATGTGTAATTATAACTAATGAAAATATGGAATAAGGAATTCTCCTCCAGGTCGAGGCAGAATTCCTTTTCCAAAGTCACGGATTGCAAAAGAACCCCCCCAGATAACAAGCTCCAGCAGGCTCATCAACTTGGAGGAAAGGACAGGACACAGGCCATCATAGAAACAAAAGAACTAGCCTGAAAGTCTACCTCCAGATAAAGGCAACGCCCGGCCGATTTCGGCCGGAGACCATCAAGCAAGACAAAAGGGACGAGCCCCAGGAAAATGGTCGTTGCCAGAATCGAGCACCACACCCGCCAAACCCAAACTACAGAAACTCAATCAAGAAAAACAAAGAAGAGACTACTCCTCCGAGATATCCATCGGCGCTAGCCCGGATCCCTCGATTCTGCTGTGATGAAATATGTTAAAATACATACAGACTCACTTTGCATTTGAGGAGACTCTGCCCGGACACTTACTGACTCAATGTTCTAGGCCAGGAAATCCATTCACCCGACAATCAGGGACACTTGGTGAATGGAAACTGGTTGGAATTCTAGCCTGGGGACATAAAATCCCTATAAAAACCCAGGCCAGAGAACCCTCAGATGTGGATTTGGGAACACCTATACCTTGCGTATAGACCCTATCCACCCAGCGCTGCGCTGTCCATTTATTGTGGTTTTTCCTCGCTGTTCGTTGCTTTATTAATTTATAATAAATTTATCTTTGTTAATCTTTAATCTGCCGTTGCATTTATAACAAGAGGAAACCCCAACTGAATGGCTGGAAAGGCTCCGAAAAAATATGAAACACTACTCTGGAATAGACCCTGAGTCCCTAGCAGGACAAGCCCTGCTAAGGGTTAATTTTGTCACCCGGGCATGGCCAGATATTAGGAAAAAACTAGAATAATTGGAGGACTGGCATGACAAACCCTTAAATGATTTATTAAGAGAAGCTCAAAGGGTTTATGTACGGAGAGATGAAGAAAAAGCTAAAGTGGAAGCAAAAATCATGATAGCCACTATGAGGGAAAACACCTTCCAGAAAAATCTGAATCAAAAACCCTCAGGAATTCCTCCTAAACACTCAGGGGCTAGAAGTGGGGAAAAGGGAAGAAATAAAAATCCAGCACCGTCAAAATTCCCGGGACAACCCAGGAATACCTGTTTTTATTGCAAAAAGGAAGGGCATTTTAAACGAGAATGCCCTCACTTAAGGAGGGATCTAAAGATACTTCAAGAGACACCTCCAGAGGAAGAATAGGGAAGTCAGGGGCTCTATTATTTTTGGGGGGACAAATACCATCTGGAGCCTTTGATAAATTTAAAAGTGGGCCCCCAAGAGGAGAAATTAGAATTTATAGTTGATACTGGGGCAGAAAGGACTTGTGTTGTTAATATTCCAAAGGGATGTGATATAAGTAATGATACTGTAAAAGTAACAGGGGCAAAAGGGGAAGGGTTTAAAGTTCCTGTCATTAAAAATGTGGTCATAGAAGGAGAAACAAAAATAGGAATAGGAGATGTTTTACTAGTTCCTGGGGCTGGCAGCAACTTATTGGGAAGGGATTTACAGATACAATTAGGAATTGGGGTTATCCCAGAAGAAGGGAAAATGACAGCCAAAGTGTTAAAACTTGGCCAGGAAGATGAAGAACAAATTAACAAAGAGGTTTGGGCTGGAAAAGGAAATAGGGGTGGATTGAATATTGACCCCATAAGGGTCACTATTGAAAGGGAAGAATGTCCCATATGTGTACGTCAGTATCCTATTTCTTTGGAGGGGAGAGAAGGCTTAAAGCCAGTAATAGAAGAATTGATAAAGGATGGGACATTGGAACCTTGCAAATCTCCTCATAACACCCCTATACTCCCAGTAAAGAAACCTGATGGAAATTACAGATTAGTGCAGGATTTAAGGGAGGTTAATAAAAGAACACGAGCCCGTTACCCTGTGGTTCCTAATCCTTATACTCTTTTAAGTAAAGTCCCACCTCAACATCAGTGGTTCAGTGTGGTGGATCTTAAAGATGCTTTCTGGGCCTGCCCACTGGCAGAAGAAAGCCGAGATATTTTTGCCTTTGAATGGGAAGATCCAAATACCGGGAGAAAGCAACAATTAAGATGGACAAAATTACCACAAGGATTCACAGAGTCCCCAAGTCTATTCGGGCAAGCCTTAGAAGAGATGCTACAAACTTTCCCCACTCCTGTAGGAATACAAATCATCCAATATGTGGATGATCTCCTAATATCAGGAGAAATAGAAGCTGAAGTCAGAGAAGCTACTATAAAACTTCTGAATTTTCTTGGGGAAAAGGGACTCAGAGTATCAAAAGGAAAGTTACAGTTTGTGGAATCAGAGGTAAAATATCTTGGTCACCTGATAAGCAAAGGTAGCAGGAAATTAAATCCTGAAAGAATTGCAGGGATCCTATCCCTTCCTCCTCCCTCTTCAAAGAAAGAGGTTAGGAAACTGCTAGGACTACTGGGATATTGTAGATTGTGGATTGAAGGATACACACAAGCAGTAAAATTTTTGTATGAGAAATTGACAGGAGGGGACAATATAAGATGGACTAAAAATGATGATGATAAATTAGAACAATTGAAATTGAAACTAGCCTCAGTACCAGCCCGAAGCCTAGCCTCCTTAGAAAAACCCTTTCATTTATATGTTAATGTGGAAAACGGAGTAGCTCACGGGGTTTTAGTTCAAGAATGGGGGGCGGTGAAGAAACCAATAGCCTTTTTATCCAAATTATTGGGTCCAGTGAGCCATGGCTGGCCAGTATGTATTCAGGCAATAGCAGCTACTGCTATTTTGGTGGAGGAAAGCCGTAAGCTCACCTTTGGAAGTAAATTAATTGTATGCACTCCTCATGCTGTTCGAAATGTGCTGAATCAAAAAGCTGAGAAATGGTTAACAGACTCCAGGATGTTAAAATATGAAGCAATCTTAATTGACAATAACGATTTGACAATAGAAACAAGCAGGAGTCTCAATCCAGCCCAATTCCTGTATGGGGAACCAAAAGATGATTTGGCACATAATTGTCTGGAAATTATACAATGCCAAACTAAAGTTCGGGAAGATTTAGCAGAACAAGCCCTTTTGGAGGGGAAAAAAATATATGTTGATGGTTCATCCAGATGCTTGCAAGGAAAAAGAATGTCGGGATATGCTATAGTTGATGGGGAAAATATGCAGACCATCAAAAAGGGAAGTCTACCTTCAAACTGGTCTGCTCAATCTTGTGAATTATATGCTCTAAAAAGAGCACTGGAGCATTTAGCACATAAAAAGGGGACAATCTATACTGATTCAAAGTATGGCTTTGGAGTAATTCATACCTTTGGGAAAATCTGGGAAGAAAGGGGGTTACTAAACTCAAAAGGGAAAGGACTAGTACATGAGGGACTTATTTTAGAAGTTTTAGAAGCGTTAAAACTGCCTGAGGAGATAGCTGTAGTACATATCAAAGGACACCAAAAGGGAATGACACCTGAAATGAGAGGGAATAACTTGGCGGATCAGGAGGCTAAAGAGGAGGCAGAAAATGGGGACAAACGAGTAATGTTAATTTTAACCCCAGACAGGGAAGAATTGGAAATCCCTAAATTTAATGAGAAAGAAGAAAAAGAATTACTCAAGATAGGGGGAGAACAGGATCAGTCTGGAAAGTCGAAACTCCCTGATGGGAGACAGTTACTTAATAAACCACTCACCAGGAAAATATTAGAAGATATGCATTAGAAAACTCATTGGGGTACTCAGGCTTTGTGTGATCACTTTCTAAGGGATTTTGGATGTATTGGAATTTTTGGGGTAGCAAAACAAATAACTGAAAACTGCATAACTTGACAAAAGGTAAATAGAAAAATAATGAGAAAAACACTATTAGGTGGCCGTGAATTAGCCTTACGGCCGTTCCAAAGTATTCAAGTGGATTTTACTGAACTTCCCCAAGTCCAAAAATGGAAGTTCTTATTGGTAATAGTAGACCACTAAACTCACTGGGTGGAAGCTATTCCCGCTGCCAGGGCCA